TTGTTTTTTTAATTAATTAATTTATTTGGCTGCGCTGGGTCTTAGCTGTGGAATCTTTCGTTGCAGCATGCTGGATCTAGTTCCCTGACCAGGGATTGAACCCGGGCCCCCTGCATTGGGAGCATGGAGTCTTAACCACTAGACCACCAGGGAAGTCCCTCCTTTTAAAATTATATCCCAACCCCCCCATTCTTGATCCCCCGTATCCTACTTTTTTCCCCTCATGGAACTTATCACATTCTAACAAACTATATAATCTGGTTATTTATTGTGCTCATTGTCTCTCTCTTTCTCCCACTAGACTGTGTGTCCATGAAGACAGAGACTGTGCTTGTTCTCTTTACTGATATAGTCTAGTCTCTCTGCCCTGGCACAGGGCAGACCCTCAGTAAATATTTGTTGAATGAATGAATGACCCTCAGTTGTGTTTTTTCCCCTTTCTTTGAAGCTTCAATTCTTTTGCTAACATGAAGGGGGGAATATTTGGAGAACGAACAAAGAGAGATAAAGAAATGGATAAGGGTTAAGCCTTTGAAAAAATGAGCTATTAGCTAGTCTGATCACAATTATCTAGACAAATTGAAGACGTAGTACAGAAAATCCTAAAATAGAGAGTCCAATAAAAATTTCTATTTTGATTGCATTATATGATGCTCTGGTTGACTCTTTCCTAATTATTTTTTCTTAAGGTAGTAGCATGAATACCAGCTGTGTGTTTGTGTACACACATGTACACATGCACCAGATGTAGGTGAATTGGGAATTTACCTAAAATAATGCACAGACCAGGTACTTTCATTCCCACAGACAGTTTATGTATTAATTGCACAAGACTTGCTAGGTATTGAGTTCAAAGACTGCCATGTGGATCTTCTCTTCCAAGAGCTTCAGGAAACCTACAAAGAGCCCACTGAAAGTTGACCAGACCTTGAGTTGTCTAGGTGTGTGGTTTCTGTGGGCATCATGATTGGTTGGTCACCTCCTAGACTTTCAACCTAACCCTTTTTGTGTAGCAGCTAGACTGATGTGTGGGACCGGTCCCACCCCCAGGTGGTCACAGTGGTCCATTAACGGATAGGCACAAAAGCCGCTGGGATTTAGAATGAAGCTCTCAGATATTTTCCATGGTTGTAGGAAGAGATTTTTTTCTCTCTCCCCATGATGCTAAATAAAAATCTGGCAGCCTTCTTGCTACTATGAAAGAGGCTAGTTTGAGGACAAAGCATACAGACAGAAGAGGGCAGAACTGAGAGAATCACAAATGTAGAGCCAGAGCCCTACTGATTTTGTGAACCTCTGGATCAAACCCTGCCTGAAGCCTGATCCACTTTTAGACTTCACATATATCCAAGGCAATAAGCCCCGTAAGCCTTATAAGCTCTGGTGTCTTTAACTTGCAACAAAAAAAATCCTGATATAGTCCTCTCGATTTCTTTCAGGCCCTCCCTTCTGCCTCTCACAGGTCCTTAGTGTGTCCTGGTACAACACGTGGGCTTTCTGCACTGTCTGCGTCGTGTGCATGCATACACAGATGCATTTCAAAATCCTAAGGCAATGAAATGTTCTTGGTTCACAAATACTTGATGCTCCATTTCTCTGACATTAATGAAAATAATAAAGGGCCTCACCATTAATACTAAAAGTCTGAAAAGAAGTAGAAGTGGTTCTCAGACCTGTATCACACTGCTCAAGTTACGTTCCTGAGTTTTGCTGCTGAATACACATTTTAATGCTCACTTGAATCCCCAGAGGACTCTGAGGCTGAGGTGGTTCTCCTGACGGTCTCTTCTAGCATCAACCTGAGACCTGAGGGCAGTGCTGTCCAGGGGACAGCCAGCCAGCAACGATAATGTGTGAAGAAACTCTCTGATAGGCCGTTCCTTATTTATTAGATTCCAGATACATGGGACCCGGATGGAAGCATCCTAGGGTGTTTGGGAGAACATATACAGAGGTGGAAGTACGTACAGGTGGGTGATGCAATGAGGGACCGCCATTTTAAAAAATATATACATCTTAAGAAGCCATTCCAGCCATATTATCATTATTAGAAAATAAAACAATCTCCACATAGTGCTTTTCTTTGGTGCTCTTCCGTGGGCATGGGCCCCTCTGTCTTCTGGTCACGAGTTTGCCACTACCTCCCCTCGACACAACCCTCCTCCACCTTCGCCAACTGCGCAGGGGGAGGGGAGAGTCTGGAGGGAGGGGAGACCCTGACACGGGGCGGGGTGCAGATTCCGGCTCCTCTAAGGCCCTGCCACGGCCTCCCACCCAACATCCTACTCTGGTCTTCCTACTCGGTTCTTAAATTGTGCCCTGGGAAATCACCGAAGTTTCCCCTATGCCCAAACCGGGAGCTTCATCAAGGTTCACATGAGACGAAACCAGTCTAGAATCTTTAGAAAGGGTGGGGACACGGGGACCAAACAAAACCCAGCCAATACCACCTTCTCCATGGTTGGATTTTCTTCATTTTATTTCTTGGTTCATTTCAATGACCTGTATCATGAGAGTACAACTGAGAAGGGCTATTTCCTCTTTACAGATTTTCCAGGAAGAGCGGATTTGTGGGTAAACTTCAGTTTTGCTGTTTGGGGGGATGGGGTGTCCTAAACTCTCCTTGCTCCACTGTCTTCCACTAAGTCAGCAGCCCCCCTTCCCAGGGAGGTCCCAAAGCTGGCTAGACTTCCAACTAAGAAGCTGGCTCCTGAACTTTTTCTCCGAATGCCAATGGACGCATCAAGTACACACCAGGGCCTTTCCCATTGGACAGAATTCTCATCATTACCGATACATTTCCTGTCGCCATTGGCGTTTTTTAAGTGTAAAAGCAGCAGCAGCAGGAGTGTCCACCTCCTTAGCACCAGGTCATCAGGACCACGGCCCCCTCTGTGCTTTAAAGGGGCTCTGATGCCGGGACACTTGCAGATGCGTGCGATCCGGCGAGGCGAAGCTGCCCTGCGTACAGAACACCCACCCACCGCAAACCAGTTGTTGCACTGTGAGCCAGAGATGCTTTCTCTAGAAAAGATGGACTGCAAAGGCCAGTTGTGCACAAGCCCCTGCCGCAGCTCACAGCTTGGGTCCTCATGCTTGAGCAGGGACGCTACAGACAGCGGGGGTGATGAGGTGCGACTCTCTGCCCCACCTCCTCGAGCACACAGCACAGTGAGGGGCTAGGGGAGGCTCCCGCACAGCAGACCCCAAGTTCTCGCACCGTGCCATCTCCCTAGTCCAGACTTCATGGCATGGTCCCCAGTGGCTAGGTTAGGCCTGGGTTTTACCCCTGGTCCCTTAGAGGCACCTGTGCGTCTGTCCGCCCAGATTGGAGACTGCAGAGAGAGCTAGGGCTGAAGTATCCCAGATCATTCCAATGCTGACTGACAAGTGACTGTGGCAAAAGGGAGGGGGGGCACACTTTGCTGGTCTGTGAAGTCTCTGGAACCCCTGACATTTTCTATGTGAAGGTATCTGAGAGCAGCTGCTAGGATTTAGCCAACCCTCCTGCCTGGGGTGACCTCAGCACGTCCCAGCAAAAGTTCAGAAGGAGCGGTGTCTGGGGGTGGAGAGCTGGAGCCAGCGGTCGCTGCTTCCCTTGGAAAGCTGCGAGGCTGTGGCGGAGGGCGCCTGGCCTCCTGGTCCTAGCGACGGGTGGGTGGGATCTGCCTGCCTCTCCAAGTGACTAGAGGTCGGGTTAGAATGTGTGTGGATTCCCCAGGGATGTGCCCCAGCGGGGATGCTCTTATCCCTGCTTTAGAAGGCAGCCGATTGGAAGCAGCTTCTCCATAACGCTCAAAACCGTTCATCCTCGGGCGATCCCCTGAGCACCGGATGGCATGTTCAAGGCTGCCCCCGACCTACCACAAGTGGGTGAGAACAAACTTTCAGAGCCACTCGCAGAAATGGGTGACCAACTGTCCCCATTTGGGTAGGACTGAGGGGTTTCCTGGGAAATGGACTTTCAGTGCCAGAACCGGTCCTGGGCGAACTGGGGTGGTTGTCACCGTACACAGCAGCCTGGAGGACTGATGGGGCGCCGGAGTGGTTGTCCTGCCAGAAAGCTGGTCTTCTAAGTGCACCAGGGAGCTACGCTACACCTCCTTAGGCCAAGGATGGCAGGAGCAACCCCTCCTGTGGCGCTGATTCACCCAGCCCTTGGGATGCAGGGGAGGGGGCTTCGGTGTCCACTGCCCCTGGATACCAGGAAAGATCAGGTGGGCTGGTGACCTCCACCGAGCCTCTGTCTTCAGGGTTCCCCCGCCTGCTCATCTCTGCTTCTGGGCCTTTCTGTGCTCGGCAAAGATTGGTTTGGGCTCTCCCTACCATCCTGACCCGGTCCTCCCAGGGCTGCCAGAACCAAGTGCCCCGGGTGCCCTCAGACGGGGTCAGGCCCCTGCATCTCCCTCGCTTCCCAAGGCCTACCTGCTCTGGACCTGCCCCCGGGGAGTGGGAGAAGCCAGAAGAAGGGGGAGCGCTGGGGAGTGTTGCCTGGCCCCTGCTCTTCTCCGAGCCAGCACCAGTCCCACCCACGGGCCCTGAGGTCTCGGCTGGCTGAACCCACTGTGGGAGTGAGCTCTGAGGTAGGGCAGGAAGTAGCAGCAGGACTCCTGGGGGAGAGAGGGGGAGGACAGGCCCTGGGGCCGCGGTGACAGGCGGGCGGGGGGCGCACCGAGGGGTGGGGTGCATGAGTTCTGGCGCTACTCTCCTGATGGTGAGCCGGGCCTGGGAGCTTAGAGGAAGGATGGAGGGAGGGAGCCATCTGGACTGTGGAAGGCGTAGGGCCTCTTGAGGGGCCCCACAGAAGCCCAGAGTAGGCAGCACCCCTGCAAGAAAGTTAACTGCCCTCTGGGAGAGGGAAACCTCCAGAAGGTACCCCACTTGAGTATGCTGGGCGCTAAGCACTGCCCACGCAGGCCATGGACAGAGGACGGGGGTCGGGCATGGGGTTAGGAAGTGTGTTCTGCTCGTGCTGCCTCTTGGTGGTTTGGCCGGGAGAGGGGGCACTTCCACGGTGGTCTCCAGCCTCAGGGGAGTCAGCTCTGGCCCAGGCCTCAGCGTTGCCCGTGGCGGAGGAAAAACATACCAAAGAAAAAGCCAGTTACAGATGAGCCCCGCGCCCTGCCCTCCCATCCCCGTTCCCTACCCCACAGCACCCAGGGCTCTGCACACAGCCAGGAGGCCAGGAGCCCCTTCCCCTGGGACTGCTCGCGGCCATGATACAGGACTTGAATGTTGAGGCTGGTGGCTGTGGAGGTCTCCCCGTCGGTTTGTCTGTCCTTGGGTGGGACTCGGTCCTTGGGCCAGGCCATCAGACCTTGGCCTCCAGCATCTCCAGGAAGAGTTTGTGCATGGGCACCTTGCCTTGCAGTTTGAGGCTGTGGAAGTGCTGCACGGCCTTGGCAGCCGTCTGCCGAAGCAGGGGCAGCGTCAGCAGCAACTTGCCCGTCCTCCGCGGCTCCTCGTGGCGCTGGCTCAGCTCGTAGTCCTGCAGCGCCTCATGCAGCAGGTCCTGCAGCTTCTGGACCGCCTCCAGATCCTCGATGTACATGGAATCTGTGGACACAAGGCAGAGCATCAGCGGGCGTGGCCGGAGAGCACTGCCCTGGGCGTGGGGGCCACCCCGGGGTCCCTGATCTCTGCTTTGGAGCCTTCCAAATCCTCACTCTACAGAGAGAGAAACCCAGGCTCAGAGAGGTTAAGGTGCCAGTCTGAAGTCACAGAGGCCAATGACGGAGCTGTGGTTCACACCCAAGGAGAGATCTGTATCCATGGAGGACTTTTCTTGAGAACCCACCAAGAGGTGGCAGTGGAGACCCTGAAGGGCTTAAACACGAGCAGACCTGTCATTGTCCTGCAGGTGCCAGGTGGACTCTGGACCCAAACTGGTGGAATTGTAATCTTGCGTCCCTCACCTGCTAGCTCTGTGACTTTAGACAAGTTATTTAATTTCTCTGTGCCTCATTGTCCTAATTTTTGAAGAGATAATAGCCATACCTACACCTCAAGAGGTTAAGTGAGTTAATATAGATCAAGGGCTTAAAACAGTACTTGTCACAAAATAAGTGCCCAGCTAGTGGTATCATCATCACCATCACCACCACCACCACCACCAGCATCAGCATTAACACCATCACCATCATCATCTTTTCACCACCATCATCACTGTCAATCATCATCAATACCACCACCACCATCACCTTCATCATCATCGCCATCGCCACCATCATAACCGTCATGACCGTGACGACCTTCATCATGATTATTATTGTTACTGCTGCCACTAGGCACCAGCTCAAGTCTTCAGCGCATTCACTAACCTTACAAAATAGCTGTTACAGTATACATACACCGATAAAGGGGCTGAGCTCTGTGTCTGCGTGCCATGTGGTGGGGGATATGGGGGCGCTAAGATAGCATGGCTGGACACATGGGGCACAGCGATGGAAGATGCTCTTGGGAGTTCTACAGAATCCTGGGGAAGGCTTCGGGCTCAGGCCATGAACTTCAAATGAAATTTACCTAAATCCCAAAGGGGCAGGGAGGTGCCTGCTGACGGCTGGGTCTGAGCAAAAGCAAAGTAGAACCCACTTCATGGCCTTGGGGAAAATAACCAGCCCTCTGCTGATGTGCCTGAACTGCAGCCCCCAGGGCCTGCCAAAGGTGGGAGGGGACGGGTGCATGTGCATCAAGGGAACTTGAATCTCTGGGTGGGTTGTCAAGGAAGACTGGGCAAGTTTCCTGAATTCTTCAAAAAAAAAAAGCAGGGCAATTCCTTTGCATGCTGGGTTGGTTTACATACCAGACTGCCAAGGGCAGTTGTACCAACTGGCTAAGCCCAGTAATTCCCTCTGACATTTTGGATCCGTACTCAGCCCATGCCTCCAAGGGTCCTGTCTCTTTTTCTTAGGAGAATAGCAGTAGAAAGAGGTGGGTAAGACTCTGGAGTCTCAGATGCTGTGTGACTTTGGCCAAGTTACTTAGGCTCTCTGAGATGGTTTCCTGTCTGTGAAATGGAGCAAATGAGAGTGCCTAATAAATGTTGTTATTATCATTACTGTGAAAACTCAGACTGCAGGAGAGTGCTCTCGCAGAGCCGGCCCCATACCTAAGACTCCTCCACATTTTCCTGCTCCTTGTTACCAAGGCGGTGAGGACTCTTCCTTTGCCAGCTGGGGATGAAGCGTGGCTCCATTCCTACACTCTTGGCTGATTCCAGAGCGTGCAGCCAAGATGCACTAGTCCCTGTAAGGCTGGGGCCTGGCCGTCCAGATTCCTTTCCTTCCTGCCGGTTTCCTCTTCCCACCACCCCACGCTCCCCAAGGAGGCCAAAACTGGCAGCTGTCTTCGACCAAAACTGAAATAAAATAACATTGGAAGATTAATTCCTTTGCAATCCATCAGCGAGTCTGTATCGATGGCATTGATAAACTGTTAATTACAAAATCAATGGCTATGATTTTTTTCTGCTGTCAGGGAGCCTTGGAGAGGCCGGGAGGTGGGGTGAAAGACAGCCAGCAGGCTCCGAGGGGGCGTGGTTCGGGGCCAAAGCCTCTGACCTGCTACCGCCCATTCAGCCTCCGCAGTGGCACCCGTGGTGGCCCTCGGGGCTGCCACCAGCACCACTCCAGTGATCTCCTAGCCCCTGTCTCTCCTCCAGCTAACACGCTGTCTGCCTGGGTGACTGTCCTACCTCGCTGCTGGGGACAGGTCGCTCCTCCACAACCTTTCACGGCTCCCTATACCGACCCTATTCCACCCCACTCCCTTCAGAGTCCTGGAGCCTCTGCTCTGACACCAACAGCTCTTCTAGCCATACCTCCAAACAGGCCTGTTCTTTGTTTCCTGCCTGCATCTGATCGCTCCATGACACAGCCAAGGCCTGAGGCATCACAAACTCCTCTTTTTCCACTTGGAGCTCTTGAACCTGCACAGAGCTGCAGGATGGCCTGGTAAATGCCACTGGGACAAGAAGTCCAGACTCCCGGCACTTTGTCTCTCATGGCAAAGCACCTACTCTGGCAAAGCTTGATGCTAGCGGCAGCTCCTGCCGGGTTCCGTCGGTCCTCAGGTGTTTTATATTTGTATGTGTGTATGTCTGTGTGTGCGCATGTGCATGCGTGCATGTCTGTATGTATTGAGATCTAAGGCCAGAGCAGCTGGCAGAGCTAAAGAGTCCTCTGAAAGCTTGGCGTTGAGGAGTGGGTGGAGGCGACAGCTGAGTGGCCTCCTACCTCCTCACGTTCCTCTCCTGGCCTGGGCAAGCGTGAGCTCCGGGTCTTGTGAGAAGTGGTCAGGAGAGTCCAACATCCAGGAGGTGCCCTCCAGGGTCTGGGCGGCCTTGCTGCATCTGGCTGTGCTTGCCCTGTGTCCTCTGATTTCACTGGTTCCCTCTCCTCCTCGGCCCACCCAAACCCCCAGCCCCTCTACAACCGCTGATGACAATGCTTCCCTTGGAACAGGAGAGCGCAGGGAACTGTGACGGTGTGAAACTCTTCTGCATGATATGTGATGACGGAGATTTGTCGTTGTGCATTTGGCAAAACTGATAGAACCAGACAACACAAAGAGTAAGCTCTGAAGGCAACTGTGGACTTTTGTTAATAATAGTGTATCAGTATTGGCTCATTGGGCTTCCATGCTGGCTCAGTGGTTAAGAATCTGCCTGCCGATGCAGGGGACATGGGTTCGAGCCTTGGTCTGGGAAGATCGCACATGCCGCGGAGCAACTAAGCCCGTGCGCCACAACTACTGAAGCCCGCGCACCTAGAGCCCGTGCTCCGCAACAAGAGAAGCCACTGCAGTGAGAAGCCCGCGGGCCACAACAAAGAGCAGCCTCCGCTCGCTGCAACTAGAGAAAGCCGGCGCGCAGCAATGAAAACCCAACGCAGCCAAAATAAATAAATAAATAAACGAAACTAAAAAAAAAAAAAAAGCCGTCAGATTAAAAAAAAAAATTGGCTCATTAATTGCAACAAATTACCAGACTAACGCAAGATGTTAATGGGAATTGTGTACAGGGGCTGGGGAATGAAGGTGGGATGGTGTATGGAACTCTATATACTATCTGCTCAGTTATTCTGTCAATCTGAAACTGTACCAGAAAGAAACCAACAGCGTTAGCATTCTCTAACAGACTACGTTACAATTTTGGAATCAAGGTGTGTGTAAATGGTCTCTACAGAAGTATGTAAGATGTTTAACTCTTTTTTTGCATTAGTTTTTTAATAAAAGGGATTTGAACTAAAAAAAAAAGCTTCCTTCTGTCTATTAGGTCATATTCCCTGGAAGCAGAGCCTGAGATGGGGGCTCGGGTGCATGGGATTTGTGGCGAGTGTGCTTTCAGGAGAAAGGAAGGTAAGGAGGCGGGATAGGGCGAGGGCGGGGCAAGCACGGTAAGGATGCACGCAGCCTGGCTTGCGCCTGATCCCACTCCGGGAGTCCAGCCTTTGGTTCCCCTGTGTGGGTCCGCTTTTGGCTGAAGGTGAGAAGGGGGCGGGGGGTTGGATATGTAACCCTCCAAGCAAGGCAGGTGAGGGTAGGTCTCTGGCGAAGGGGGCAGTTGTGTGCTATCAGCAGCAAAATTCAGCAGCTGGGGCACGGATGCACTAACCCAGTAAAGGGGGTCTGAGTGGGGCAGTGACAGCATCCCCTGTATTCTCTGTGAAGCCATTTGTTAGGGGACCAACTGTCTCAGTTTTACAGGGATTGAGGTTTCCCAGGACATGGAACTTCCAGTGAAAGTGTGACAGCATTAAGCAAACTGGCTGGTTCCCCTATTTGTACTGTCTCCATCTGGAACCAGCTCTCTCTCTTCCATACACTGATAACACTTGTTTTCTCTAATATTAATAATAATGATAATAATTAATATTTATTGAACATCTCCTCTAGGCCAGGCACTGGGCTAAGCGTGTTATCTTCAGTCAATCATTTAAAAAAGTGCTTGGAGGAGGGATGGGGACATCCCAACTTTACACACAGGACAGAGCTACGGAAGGTTGCCAACTTGCCCAAGGTCACACTGCTACGAAGTATCAGAGCTAGAATTTGAACTTGGGTCCACTTTGAGCTTGACTGAGATCTGAGCAATTGACTACTGCATGCGCCCAGCAGCAGAATTATGTGTCTGCGTGCTTGACACTCTCTCTTTAGGACAGGGACCCTGCCTTTCTCCTTCTTCTGCAATCCCCTCCACAACCCCTGCACCTGGCCTGGTACCTGCAGAGTGTGGACACAGGTTACATTGAAGCTCACTCACCTGAGTTACCAAGGCCCGGTCCCTCTCCCCAGAGAGTCTAGCTAGAAGTTGGTGGGCGCTAAAAGAAATGGAGTGAAGCCTCCTTTTTAATGGCAGGAAAGTTTTCTCTCTTGGGCCTGAGCAGTTTGAGTGGGAGATTCAAGGAGTGTGTATAAGCTTGGAGTTGACCTTGGAATCAGAGGACCTTGGTATGGGTCCTAGCTCTGTCTGACACTCTTTAACTGTGTGACCCTGGGCAATTTGCTTCACCTTTCCAAGCCCCAGTTTCCCCATCTGTAAAATGGGGTTAAAATAATAACTTTGCTCATAGGGTTGACTGTAAGATGAAATCAGTTCATGGCTAATTCATTTAACAGACTGAGTACTTATTATATGCCAAGCGTAGTGTAAGCATAACTATATATAAATAAATCCCTTCCATAGTCTTCTGGACTGTTTGTTGTTCCCATTTTACTGATGAAGAAACTGAGGCACAGAGTGAAGTGCGGCACAGACTTGCCCAAGTGGCAGGAGCAGGACTTGACTCTTAGCAACCTGCCTCTAAAATCTGTGCCCTTAACCCTGTGCTGACCTTCATGGCAAGGGCCCAGCAGGATGCCCTGCAAACCAAGGCCTTAGGAAATACTCAGCCAATGCCAGCCTCCATCACCATCTCTTCGCCTCCAGGCCACCCCTTGCACAATCTTTGGTGACAAGAAGCTCTGGCGTCCTCACACCATTCCTGCCCCTTACAGAGGTCCTGCTCACAGGCCCCAGAGCTGTGCTCCCCAGGCCCAGAAGACCTCCTGGAGCTCCCCCTGGACGCCCCACACCCGCCCGTACCTGAGTTGGCCAGGGCCAGGGCCTTGAGCGTCACAAACTCCTCCTTCTCCACCTTGAGCTTCTTGTACCTGCGCACCAGCTGTAGGATGGCCCGGTAGAGCTCCAGCAGGCCCGCGAGGCGGGAGCGCTCCTCGTCCATGATGTAGTCCTCAGCGTACACCAGCTTGTCGTCGTAGGGCAGCGAGCGGTACACGATGCCCAGGATGAGGATCTCCATCCAGGCACTCTGCAGCAGACTCATCTGGTCCCCCAGAGAGAGGCTGGAGAAGCCTGCAGGAAGAGGGCGCAAGCAGGGCAGCGGAGGTCAGGGGGCCTCCCTGGCGCTGGTGGGGAACCTATGGACCCTGCCCCTCCCTTTTACCTGCTGGTCTCATTGTCCTTCCCTTGGTGAATGAGTCAGACATGGAATTCATGGAAAAGACTTAACAAAGCAAGAGCTCAGTCAATGTTGACAGTTGTTATTATCATTATTATTGTTAGTTCTATGGCATTTTCCGAATGTGCAGAGAGGCTTTTTGATGAATGAAATGCATTTGTAATTTAAGGAGTTATTGAATTCATCGTAGAATCAGGAGGTGGCAGTATAGGGTGCCTTCCACTCAGAGGAGTTTCCATATCCCCCTCTCTGCTCAGTGCAGGGGAGGCTGTAGTGCTTTCGAGTGACGCCTGACCTCAACGCAGAGTCTCAGCTGTGCCGAGACCCAGGGGCCCAACCAGGAAGGAGGAGGAATCAGCTGTTCCCGGCCAGTGACCACAGCCTGGGGCTGCTAAGAGCTCAAGAGCGCCCAGGGTCAGGGGGCACTTTCTCACAGGCAGCCTGTCCTCCCAGAGGTCAGACCCCCACTGGCCTGGCCATCACTCTCCACCTAACAATGACCCAAGCAGTCCTGTATTCTGTGAGCTTGGATCAGGGGCGTTTCCCCCTCCCTACTAGCAAGGAGGCTGAGTTCAGAGTGAAAGAAGGATGGGGGCAGGGGCGGCTCCAGAGTTATGACACTGTCTTGTTCAGTGTGCTCTGAAGATTGCCTGGGCTTGAATCCCGACTCTGCATTTACTACCTGTAGGCTGACCTTGTAAGAGCTGTGCTACTTCCCCAAACCTCAGCTTCCTCATCTATGAAATGGGTATAACAGTAGTGCCTGCTTCAGAGAGTCACTGTGAGGTCTAAATGAGACCATGATTACAAAACATACATTTACTGAGCTCTTACTATTATTATTAACGATGAGAAGAAAGTCTTCATCTGCAAAATGAGAATGACGCACTGGAACTGTATTATATATGCACTTAACTTAGGTAAAGTCAATGAACATCTTGATTTAAGAGAAAGAAAAAAAAAAAAGGAAGGAAGGAAGGGAGAGCGAGGGAAGCAGGGAGGGAGGAGGAGAGTTGATTTTCAAATATCTTGGTCACTAAACACAAGGCAGTAACTTCAACCAGAAACTCAGTGATGGGTTCCACGACTGACCACATCCGATGTGCCAAAAAGGAAAGGTATCCACAAAGCCATTGCACTATGCACCCGTCATGGACAACTGAAATTAAGGGAGCTCCACGGGTAATTTTGCTTATGTAGGACTCTTTACTTGCTGACCTAGAACCTAACCCCACTTAGATGCAGTGTTCTGACTCAGGGTGCGGTGAGGATGAAAAGAGATGGCCGTGGGAAGCACCTAACACCTCCCCCTGCACACAACTGGTGCTCAGTACACGTGAACGAGGAAGGTAGGTACTATTACTGTTGTTGTTGTTGTTGTTAGCACGCTATTGATGTGATTCTTCTCCCCCACCCCCAGACTGGAGGCCCGGGGCGGTCCCAAGCCTCTGGATTGGCCCATCCCTCTGGGTTCTCTTGGAGTCTATTTCACCCTCATCTGCTGTCCTCTGTCTCTAAGAGCCACTGTCCCTCCCTGTTTTCCAACCAGCGCAACAACCAATGTCCAACTGTAAGGGGCATCCAGGGGAGGAAGCCCCCCTTCGCTCAGTAGGTACCCCTTTCCCAGTAAACACCCTTTTTAGTCTGACTATCACAGTTCGCAGGCCGATCTGTACACCCGGACCTGGGATCACCACCCGGCTGCTGGCATCCCCGGGTGATCGCCCACAGAGCTGGAGCGATTATACTGCCGACACGGGGTGAGCGTGGATTGATGCGTCTTCTCGGGGGAGAGGCTGTGGCACAGAGGGGTCAGGTGCTCGTGTGTTGTCGTCCAGATCCCAGAGTGGGAGCGGGTGTGGGCTGCCCGTGGTGGCGGGGAGAGCCGGGTGGTAATGAAAGATAGATAGAAATGGACATCCAATTTCCCTTATCGGGCCTCTGAGCAGGAGAGGCCTGGGGCGACATTAATTAACAGATAGCAATCAGCCAGCACGGGGGGTGTGTGTACGTAGGGACGTGTGGGACTGCACTGGGGGTGCGGGTCTGAAGGCAGACAGACTGGGAGGGAAGATGTAGGAGGTGGACGGGGCAAAATTAATAGACAATTGAACTGGAAGGTGGCAGAGAGGGAGGGTGGGGTAGGAGCTAGGCTTCTGGAAACGAAAGACAAAAGATTCACGAGAGGCTCACGGCTAGGAGAACATGGGCAACACGCTCTGCCCCCTCGTTCACGCCCCACATACTTTCTGAGCACCTACTAAGTGCCAGGCCCTGTGCCAGGCACCAGGGACAGAATGGCCAGCTGGAACCAGAGCCGATCCCTGCCTTCCAGAGCTCAGTCAAGAGGGAAAGCCACACCCCAAGTGATGGCGTGTCCCCATGAGGTTACAGCTGTAAGAGCTCCAATGAGATGAAGGGCTGAGAACATGCAATGGGGGAATGTGGCCCAAATGAGAGAGTCCGGGGGGACTCTGCAGAAGAGGAGACTTTGGGGCTGAGCTCTGAGGGGCGAGGTGGAGCCCTGAAGGGGTGTGTCTGCACGGACCGCAGTCACTCCTGTGCCCCGGGCTCCCGGGAGCACGGGCACCAAGCCGCTCACCTTCCGAGCCCCACTGCCAAGTGCCCAGCCTGGTGCAAAGGGGCCCCACAAACATTCCTGGCACAGAGGCAAGAATGGACAGATGCCACCGGGCCTCGACTCCTGGGTGACGAGAAGATGGGCCAGAAGAACATAGATGGACCCTCTTAGTCCTCTAGACATGAGTCCGGGTTTAGCTGCCTTTGCTTATCATGCCTGAGTCAGAGGCAGGCCTACAGGGCAGGTCGGTGGCAGAGGGTGCGGTGGAGGGGGGGATGGAGCAACTTGGGGATGTGGGACCACCACCTGAGGGTGTCCTGAGGCCTGTGTGCATACCCCTTGCTAGGCTGGTTTGAGGAGTGACTCAGCCCCTGACTCTTCTCTTCTTCCTTGAGCTTCTTCAGAAGGATCTAGAAATAGCTTTGAAAATCCAGGTGCACACCCCAAAGTGCTGCACAGCGGATAGAGGCTGCTTGGTTTTGTGCAAGGTCGGGGGGAAATATTGGATATTTTCTAATGTTTGAAATAGCTCCAATATTTTCTAATGTTTGACAAAAGAAACACAAGAAGGAAAAATGAGAAATAAAAATTATCTCTAGGAGAAAGGAGGGGGAGGGGATGGGGATGGAGGTGAGAGTTCTGCCTACGCGTTTTTGTCTCGTTTTGGCTTTTGAACCTGTCCGTGTTGAAGAAGCGACATTAAGACATTAAATCAAGCATAACACAAAAGGCATTCTCCCTTCAACCGAGCAATCTCACCGCTAGGAATTTCTCCTAGAAAGAAAAGTATGCATAAACATAAAAAGATAAATGTGAAAAGGCTGTTTGTTAGATCTGTTTGTAACGACCCAAAGCAGGCGACACCCTGAATGTAACCAATGTACTATATGTACTTATTATATAAATGTAATAACATGTAATTATTAGCTGGGTGAATGGAACAGTAGAAGCCACTAGAGAGAATAAGGAAGAACCATGAATGTGGATGTAGAAAGATACTCACTGCCCAAGAGAGATGTTAACTATGAAGGGCACAGATGCCAGAGCCAGCCTGTCTGTTGGAATCCTAGCTCTGCTGACCACTGGCTGTGACCCTGGGCACGTTTTCTGTGCCCCAGTTTCCTCATCTGTAAAATGGGAATAATAATAGTACTTACCTCATTGGGTTGTTTGGATTAAATGAGCTAACGTGTGGACCGCTTAGAACACGGCTTAGCATATAGTAAATGTTACTATTTCATATAACTAAATGAAAAAAGCAGAGTGTAAAGCAGTGTTATAGTATGAAGGATGGCAGGGAGGGGACACACACACAGTGGCTATACACATACACAAATTCCCAGAATGAGGCTTGAGAAAGATGGGTATTTGGAACACATCACTTCCACCCCTCTGCCACATCTTTACTGGAAGCACATATTCTTTCTTTTATTAAACCCAAACAAAGGAGCTGAAGCACTGCTCCCTGCCCTTCAGCAATGCACCCTTCACTTCTGCGTTCCTGTGCTGGGCTGAGTCTCCTCCATCAACTGATCAGCAATTCTGGGGCAGAGGGGCTGCTGGGAGAGGCTACGTGTGGCCCGTGCCCCTGGGGCTCTCCCAGCTGGCTACCTACTCCCACCTCTCCCACCTTGAGCTCTGCTGCCCCCGGAAAGTTGCTTTATCTGCACCAACTGATCTAATAACATTCGGGCTCTTCCCAAGCCCCCATCCCCCAGTGATTTGACAGCATGAGCTTCTAGAATTTAAAAAAAAAAAAAGAGCACATAATTTGTGGCAAGTGGAGTTCATAATCTGTTAATTTATTATCGTTTCTGTCGACCTGGAGGGCCATTAGCAGAGGTAATAAAGGGAGATGTAATTATAGGATCTGAGGCCACTCCAGACACAGCTGCTGTCACTCGTCAGCCCATATTTCATCGGCCGCTGGTGTTCTTCTCTCCCCAGTGTGAGCCAGACAGTGGCTTCCTGGTAGCAGGGTCTCTGAGGGACCCTCCGCTAGGAGGCCCCTGGGGGGGTCCCCTGCAGAGGCCGTGCACGTGTCAGCCTGGGCTGGGCAGGGCCAGCTGGAGGAGGCTGTCCTGGCTGGGGCACCCTCGGGGCTGCCTGGGCTGGGAGGGTAACACCTAATAACATCTGCAGGCTGCAATTCATCAAGTGATACCCACTGCCTGTGAATGTTTGTTGCCTCTTGTTCTAATCTCTCGCTCATGGGGAATAAGAGGCGGACACTCTAAAGACTTGGGCTTGTTCTCTGGGCGGCCCAATACTTGGAAAACTCAACTCAAGGGAAAAGCCTGTGCTGGGGTGGGCAACTTCAGACTGACTCAAACGAAAGAGTGGCTGCTGCTCTGGGGGAATCACAAGCAGCCCCAGCTTTCCCACGGAACTCACCCTTGCAAAAGTATCCTGTGTGTTCAGTAATATGGGGAAAAGGGAGAGGAGTGCTGGGAATGAGTTCGTGCTCAAATGAGCCTTCCTTCCGGCTAAGCTGGCCACTCAGTGCCCGCATGAATATGTCCGCTTCTGTGCACAGCACTTAATGTCTCTCTGGACTTTTCTTCCATGGCCACTTGCCCATCAATCCTGAAGGCCTCACTCTTGTTCTACTCTCCCCCCCCCAAGCCCGCGGCATCCCTCCTGCCTCTGCACTCCATCCTGTGGTTCTTCCTGCTGCATTCTAACTAAGCATCTGCCTTCTCACGTCTGAGATACAGGAGGTGGGAAATGGGTGGGTAGAGAGGAAACAAGATTGGCCGTTGAGGGGATAACTGTTGAAGCAGGGTAATGGGGAGGTTCATCATACTCTTTGGTCTACCTTTGTTTGAAATTTTCCATGAAAAAAGGTTTTTGTTTTGTTTTTTTAAATTATCTAACTTATTCCCAAATGAGACCCTTAGGGCAGCAATTAATCTAATTCTTTAGATGGGCCACAACTCCTAGCAAGAGAGTTTACATACAGTTAGTGCTCAATAAATGCATGCAAAAGCAAGTAGGAAGCACCCTCTGTGTGCCAGGCTCTGGATTAGGCAATACTGATGCATGAAATGTGGTATCCTGTGCTTAATTCAGGGCAGCGGCTTGGGCTCCTCTCCAGAGCTCTAACCTGAGCCATCTAAGAAGCCAAGCCAGTCCTTCTGTCTGTCCAGGGACCAAGATGGACAGTTGCTGACAAAAGTCCCAGGGTGGGGCCCTGGCTTGTATCCTTCCTATTCAACCTGCCCTGTTTCTCATTCTCTTTCTCATTCTCTGACCAGGTCTTCAGATAAGTTTTCCATCTAATCTGAGATGGGATTAAGTCAATTAGTTTAACTATATCAGGCACTGGATTATGTCATCACCCTTAATATGAGGTTTACATGCAGTAGCAGGAGACCCTATTAATTAATTTTACCTTAAACACTAGAAGGTCAGGCCCAAATAATTCAGCATGCAAATGTATGCAAAATAGGCAAATTAGCATTTGAGACAGACAAATGAGCCCCTATGTTTATTTTTTAAGCAAAAAGAATTCAGCTTTGGACAAGGAGAAATGATGATGTGAAAGGAGGCTTTTAATACTATTAGCAACGACCATGGTCACAGTCTCTGCCGTTTATCAGGTGCCCACTCTGTGCAGGGCCTGGGCTAAGCGAGCCAGGTCCTCCCAGCAACCCAGTGAGGGAGGCTCTACTGCTCACAGGCGGGGACCCTGACGCACAGAAAAATGAAGCATCTCGCACAGAGCCAGTAAGGACGGAGCTGGGATGAGAGGCCAGGTCTGCCTGAATCCAAAGTCTGTGCCCTCAGCAACCATTCTGCTCTGCCACTGCACCCTTGGTTGGGCACAGACGGGAGGTGGGGCTGGGAGATGAGAAGGAAAATGGTGCAAGGGAGGCACTGCCTCCTGGTGCTACTCTACCCCCTGGGGGTTACTGTGGGCACGAGGTGGTAGAAGAAGCGGGCAGTGACCCACGGGCCCGCCAGGAGCCACTCCTGAGCCGTGGCTGCGATGCAGTATCTGCTCAGCCTGGAAGAGGAGTGCGTGATGGGAAGGGGGTGTGTGCAGGGGGAGCTGTGCCTAACCTGGCCCTGGGTTAGTGGAGCAATCCAGGCTGAGGTGTCTTAAGCAGTGGCCTGACCCCACAGTGGTGCTGAATCAGCGCAGGGCAGATTCAAAAACTACTGAGTGTGTAATCCCAAGAGGCTGAGCTCCTTAGTAAGGGCGCTCCAGCCCAGATCCCCAGGGAGCCCACCCGTGAGTCAGGGAGTCCCTGTGGAAGGAATTCTAGGCTTCCTGCCAGCTAAGTGACACCAGCACCCCCTCTGAGCCGTTGTCCGCAGGAAGGCTCCTTCCTGTAAGCTGTGCCCATAACATCTTATATGAGGACTTTCTGACTTGCCCCAATCCACTGTGGGCCTTGGCATCTAAAGTTTCGGACACCTTTGCTACCTAACCATGCATGCCGTATTCATCTTTCAGAGCCGGTGGCAAACACAAAAAGGATCTAGAGACAGGAAGATAAACTGTCCCACATTACAAAGCTAGGAAGAATCTGAGTCCATGGTAGGTCACTGCCAGAGAAGAACAGGACGTCTCCCCGACAGTATGAGCCAAGCCGTTAGGACCGCAAAGGAATAAACTGCACAGACTTTAGAAAGCCCCCAAGAAGGGTGTGATGCAGAATATGTGGGTATCGGAGTCTACAAAAACGAATTAAAAATCAGCTCCCTCCCTCTATCCAGAATGAAAAAGACTGAAAGAGGGGTTTGGGGCCACATGCAACGAAGAGAAGTCCGGATCACCCAAAACACATTCGTAACATGTACTTTTCATGCCAGAAATGATCTTAAAAATCACAGAATCCCAACTGAGAGACAGGCCTCCCTTAAGATCAGGCAAATGGCAAGAGTGAGCACGCAGCTGACGTCAGGATGTGCCAAGCATCGTACACACGCTCGCATTTCAGCCCCACGTCAAAGCCCACGAAGGAGGTACTGCTGGTGTTTCCTGTTTGCAGAGAGGTCGGGCGACCTGCCTTGGGTTACACAGCTAGCAAGTTGCAGACCCAGAACCTGAATCCCAGTCTGATTCCAAAGCGCATGCTCTTAACCACTCCACTTCACCTGCCTCTAGTAGGAAACAAGAGTCAATCCCTCTTCTGTGTTGTTTTCCAGTATATTGCCAATAAGATTTAGGATAAAACCCTGTTCTTTGGCCTTTAAGGATTCAAAGAACCTGCTCTGATTATTACCTATTGTAGAAGCAGTCATACCCCTGCTAGAATGATAATCCGTTCTGAAGAGCCCCCAGCAGTTCAGGAACATCACTGGACCTTCCAAACAACGGCTCACCTCCAATCCCACAAAGAGAGAAAGGAGGCCAGAGACAAATAGTTTTGCCAAGATTCCACAGGGCTCCTGGGTCACGGGCTCCCATGCATCAGGACCAGAGCCACGGAGAGAGCGGCTGTGAGCCTCTGACTACACTCTCCCCCAGTCCTCTGGGACTCACCTGGGATGTGCTTGGCCCAGCCAATAATGACCACGAGCTCCCTGTCTGCCAGGTCACAGAGAGTGGTCAGAGCCTTGATGTCGCCCTCTGGCATGCCAGGGGGTGGCATGGCGTAGAGTTTGTCCGGCTCAGCCACCAGCAGGTAGGAGACGATTTTAGTCACTGCAACAACAAAAGGGAGAATGTAAATGCCTGGGAAAAGAGGAAAGGGGCCAAGGTGGAATCTGAGATGGCTCAGGAAGAAAAGTCGGGTTCCCAGGAGCCCCAGGAAGCTCAAACATGGCTAAAAACCCCCCTCCATTCCTCCCTCCCTTCCTTCCTTTCCTCCCTCCCTCCCTTCCTTCCTTCCTTTCCTCCCTCCCTCCCTCCCTCTTTATTTCTCTCTTTCTTTCTCTCTTCCTTTCTCTCTCTTTCTTCTTTTTTTTCTTTCTTTCCTTCTATTTTATTGGTGATAGTTGATTTATGATGTTTTAATTTCTGCTATATAGCAAAGTGACTCAGTTATACATATACACATTCTTTTTTATATTCTTTTCCATTATGGTTTATCCCAGAACATTGACTATAGTTCCCTGTGCTATACAGTAGGACCTTGGTGTCCATCCATTCTATATGTAATAGTTTGCATCTGCTAACCCAAAACTCCCAGTCCATCCCTTTCTGACTCCACAGACTTGCTGGCAGTGATGGTTTGGGCTCTTGGGAGATATCCCAACAAGGGAAGTTGCCTGGTGAATTCTCCTGAGATGAACGTGATTCGAGTGGGAGGTGAGGGATGCTGGGCCTGTGCCCTCTTAGGATCATGCTGCATTTGGAGCTACATTCTGTAAATGCCACAGGAAAGGTCTTCTGAATGAAGCCTGAAGTACCCGATACCAATGCCAGACACTGATGCCCCTCCCCGTGACCCTCAGTGCCCCATAACCCAGCAGTGTGAAGATGGCATTTCCCCAAAGGGACGCCAGATGTTCCAGGAACAGATGCTGGCAAGAGGGGCAGGGATGCCCTGCACTCACATGGCTTTTTAGCAGGAGGAGAAATCTGTAAGCTCAGGTACGGGCTGCTCTCTGAGTCCAGCCGTCGCTTGTATTTCTGGCGGCCTCCACGCACTCGATCAAGGCGCACACCTTTTGGGGAGGAAAGGGAGAAGGTCTCAGAGTTGTTCAACATCACCAGGGGTGTTAGCGCTGACTTTGGAATTTCAGCAATGGCTAGATCTTCAGGGCTACGCGCCGATGGCTTTTTTTTACAGCTGCCACATGGCCAGCCTCAGGCCAGGTGATTGGACAATCCTAAGATAATTGTCTTCACAGTAATAATGGCCCATCCGGGTTGCCCTAGGCCTGGTCCTGCCTCTCTGGAGTCAACATCCTCCTGAAATCCATCCCAAGCAACCTTCAGCTCTTGAGTCTTTCCATCTCCAAAAGACAAAGCACAACAAACACACTCCTCCAACGGCTGGGGAAAGAGGACACATCATTTTAGATCTGCCGTGAATCCAGGCAGGATTGAGTTAGCTTTACCAAGAGAGGAAAGGAATCCCTGCCATGCGCGGCCCCTCCAAAGAGCTATAACAAAGACTTGCAAACTGCTCACATAAAAAGCATCTAGATGGGCACTCGTTACAGATGTCAGTTTCTGGATCCCTCCCTCAGAGATTCTAGGATTCAGTTCTGTCTGTCTATACGAACGCCCCACGGGATGAGCATGCTGTTTGTCCTGGCCACACCAGGAACGCCGGTGCCCGGAAGGCTCTCAACAGCAGGTACGCAAGCAGCTGTGGCCATTCCACCCTGACGTCCCTTTCCAGGAGTGAGGCCCTATCCTAGGGAGACAGACCCCTTATCGTCACTGGGTCCATACCACCTTCAAGAGTGCTGCCCACCCACAGCTCCTGCTGTCTGGACAGAGCTGTTGGTACCATTTGACAGCCCCACCAGCAGGCAGGGCGGACAGGACCTCCAGGGGGCTCCTCACCCAAGGCTACACAAGCCTGTGTGTGGCCACCAACCTATGTGACCTGACGTGAAAAGATGGATGGGACACATCGACTGAGCTCCAAGTGAGAACGAACACAGAAAGCAGAGCGGCTCTCCTTTCCTTACCATGAAATGGACCTTGACTAAAACACACAAGAAGTCAGAGACAGAGCCAGCGTCCCCAGAGGGAGCAAGCTCGGTGGCTTCAACTCCTCCTCCTTTCCCCAAAGGTCAAGAGCGTCACGGGCACAGAGCCCCAGTCAGGTGATCTTCGGGGCCCTGTCTTTCCCCGGCACTTCCTCCTGCCAGTCCTACCTTCTTCCATCTTCCTAGCTCACGGGGGTGCTCGGAGGGCCAGGAGGATGCTGTAAGCACACCCAGCCAGACTGCCTGAGGGGACTGTCTTTTGGGGGCCAATCAGTGCTCGCCCTTTCACCAGCAGCATCCTTTTTACCCCACAACCTGGCACTTTTGTGTTTGATGCTGAACATGGCTGTAGTGAACTCTTTTCCCCAGGCAAGGGTCTACCCAGCATCCCACCCCTACTTCCTATTTCAAGGCAATTCCCCTGTTGTGAGTCATCTTACTGGGGAGAGTAGCAGTAGTGCTGTCAGCCGCAGGGGCGTGGGCAGCCCTGGGCCAGGCTCTCCTGATTACTGCATCTCCCGTGCCTGGGCTCTCAGGGGCTTCCCTTGGTCCTTGTCTGGCTAAGCGTGGTCCTTGAGCCTCCTGACGGGTGTGCAATGAACTCCCCTTCTGCTTCGAGAGTCAGAATGGGTTGCAACTGACCACCTCTACAGTGGGTTCTCTGGGACAAGACACTGCGATAAGGACATGAATGTAGGCAAGTTTATTCTGGAGGCGTTCTCAGGAAGAAAGTCAATAACGACCACAGCTTCCCAGCGGATGTGGCTGTATCATCCATGTCCATCAGTACCTCGGACCTTGAAGGGGCAGCGGAATCCCATCCAGCACAAGACCACACTCACGTGCTGATGGGACTCTGGCTCACCCCTCCCGGCCCCTTCTGTGAGGGCAGAAGGAGCAGGCACATAAGGGCAGGAAGGAGGACAGTTCCTCCCTTTGGGGAAGAGGTTTTTGGGGAGAAGTTCCCTGTTTGGAAGAGTCTTCTTGACCCCATCCTGTGACACAGCCACAAAGCAGCTCAGCCCTGCCTACTACACCCGAGGCGAGTCAAACCCTCCACCAAGCTTCTCCCCCTGGGAAGCTGGCAAGACCAAGAGTGAAAATGCCAAGCGTCAGGCATAAAGGACCGCGAGGACCCCAGTTTCCTGAGCACCTACTATGTGCCAGGGTCTGACTTGGAGTCCAAGATGAACCCCTTCCCCGCTTCACTGACTCTGTCTGCTAGATGCCAGTCTCATGAGCTTCCCCCTCCCACCCAGGCTGCCTGATCCCAGACAGATGTCAGCAGGAGAGTGAACTGCTCCACAAAAGTAAAAAGAGGCGTCCATCCCTCAGCAAGGCGAGAAGATGGGCGGATGCCACCTCTGTCGCGGCATCCATGTGAAATACTCTCTGTCCTGATACAGGGCCTGGCTCTTCGTGGGTGTTCAAGAAAGTCTTGACACATACAGGAAGGGATATGCCTCCACCCAGGCTGGGTGCTTCTTCCTGGGCTCCAATAACACACCGGGCTTCCCCTCACGACTAGGCGCCCCTTACAGCCAGAGGCTGCTCACCGTGCTACTCCAGGGACTGTCGTGGCACCTGACGTGCCACGTGTATGCTTAGAAAATGTGAGCTGTTACTATGATCGTCGCTGTCATCATTATTATTACTCTTCCCCTGTGCTGCGTACAACCCTCTGGTAAGTCACATTGATAATGACAATGAGAACAGCCTAACTTACGGAGGGCTTTCTGTATGCGTCGCCCTATTTAAGCCACAGCATATAAAGCAGGTGCTATTATCCCCATTTTACAAACGAGAAAAACTGAGACTCACAGAGATTTAGCAAGTTGCCCAATAAATGAGCCAATATCCAAGCTCTTTGCCATTCCAGGGTATGACTTCCCAGGGCACAGCAGGTATAAACTCTCTAAATTTTCTCCACAGATCTTTATAGCACAATGGTCAATAGCTCCAATCAATAAGTGTATCAATTAACAGGTTATTCTGTTTAAAAAAAAGAGTAGCCTGTTGCGTTTGATTATGCACAAATTGATACCTGGTATGAGGTGTGTTTGTCCTCCTTGCTACCTGTCTGCTTTCCAAGTCCTACTCTGAACACAAACCCAAGTCACTCAAGCCCACGGGATCCAGTGATCAAGGTCCCTTATGAGTTGTGTGGCCTTAGCCAAGCTGGCGCTCGTGGCCTTGGTCTGGGATACAGCGGAGGGGGCAGTGGTAGTAACAACTCTGCTCACCGCATGTGGCTGTTGTGACAAATGACATCATAGTGGGAAAATTATTGGTAAATTGGGAATTGGTTTCAGTAGCCAGGTGAGGCCATCACTCCCATGGCTCTGTGCTCTGACACCCACCTGGCACTCCACATGCCACCTCCAATTCAGTGGGCTCTTGGAGGACAGGGCCCAGGTCTGCACCATTTTCTGAGTTGTCCCTTCCCCCCCTACACTGCCCCACAGTCAGGGTTTATCAAAGACCATTTAGGGTAGAGGGGTCCTGGGGCATAGACCCAGGCTGGGGTTGGGCAGATGGGCCCCCACCTAAGTGACCTGCCCATACCATCAAAGGTAACCTTGAAGGTCCCGTTCAACTATTATCTCTACTGGGAAACCTTTCCAGACTCCCCTGGCAGAGCTGGCCACGCCATTCTTGGGCTCCCTTTGTTCTTTCTCTATACAGTAACCAAGGTCAAAACAACTCTTCACCATCATGCACGATGTGCCCATCTCCCTGGCGGACTGTGGGCAACTTCTGGACAAGGACTTTCATTTACCATTGCAGCCCAAGCTCAGCACACAGCCTGCGGTCAGTAACCAAGTGTCTGAGTAAAATGATGCGCCCAGTTAAAATGAAGCTCTTCAGAGTTAAGAAACAGAAGAATCTCAGGGTCTGATCCTTGCCCCAGCTTCCATTTGTCTCTCCAGCCTCCAGAAATTCATTCTCTCAAGGCAGCCTATTCCTCATGAAACTTTCTGCTTGTATTGAGCTAAATTATTTCTCCAGATCACTCCTTACCCTGCATCCCATCCAACAAGGCCACCTCCCTTCCATAAGACAACCCTTTATGGACTTGAACATCCTTGGGCATCCACCTTCTATGCTCAAGTACCCTTTATGTTCTACATTTGTACAGTGTTTTAGGCCAGCCCCCTCCTCGCCTTCCACACATTTGTTTGTACTGATGCGACCTGATGCGAGAAAGGTCAGCCCCTCAAGGGCAGAGACAGTGGACAGAGGTCTGAATTCCTTTGCATTCTGCCTAAACAGACATTGGTCTATGTTTATACTTATTATCTGCCAATGTGTGTTTTTGGGGGGACTTCCCTGGTGGCACAGTGGTTAAGAATCCGCCTGCCAATGCAGGGGACATGGGTTCGAGCCCTGGTCCGGGAAGATCCCACATGCCACGGAACAACCAATCTCGTGCGCCACAACATGAGCCCACGAGCCACAACTACTGAGCCTGCGTGCCACAGCTACTGAAGCCCGTGTGCCTAGAGCCCGTGCTCCACAACAAGAGAAGCCACCGCAATGAGAAGCCCGCACACCGCAGCAAAGAGTAGCCCCCGCTTGTTGCAACTAGAGAAAGCCAGTGCGCAGCAATGAAGACCTAAAGCAGCCAAAAATAAATAAATAAATTTATAAAAAAAAAAAAGAAAGAAAGAAACAGCCCCTCCCCAAGAGGTAACACAGCAAGATGTTGTATCATGAATCCTTTAGAAGTGGATCTCCAAATACTAACAGTTGGATCTGGCAGACATTATTAGTTTCCCACCTAATTTCATTCCATTCCCCCTCTTCCATGCTAACAGAGACTGGATTTTCTTCATAGGCACATAGGGCTTTCTTCATGGAGAGCCCTAGTCAGTCCCAGCATTCCTATTCCCCACTTTCCCAGTTTCCCTGGTAACCAAGGCTGGTCATATGACCTGGTTCTGGCCAATGGGATGTAAGGTGAAGTCCATGGTGGGGGCTTCTGGGAATGGTTTTGTTTT